TACCAAGATCAAAACCAATTGTTGTTGGTGTTCTGTATCGACCTCCGAAAAACAATTTGTTTATCGAGAAATTGTCCAATATTCTTGATACATTAAAGAAGGATGACGAAATAATTCTTTTAGGAGACATGAATATTTGTCTTCTTCGCAAATCGCCACTGGCTAAAAAATATATTGACTTGTTGAGTCTTCATGGGTTTAGTCAACTCATTAAAGACGCAACACGCGTTACACCTACATGTTCTTCTCTATTGGATCATGTTGGTTGTACCAAAGAAAATAAAATAAGTCAAAGTGGTGTCATTGATCTAGGTATTAGCGACCATTATTTTACTTTCTGTACACGGAAAAATGTTAGACTGGCTATAGGTCATCACAGGACTAATGATATCAGATCCATGAAAAAATATACAGAAGAGTCTTTCAATCTTCAACTATCTGTTGTTGATTGGTCACGAATAACTGACTGTACAGATGTAAATGAGGCATGGTCAATATTTCAACATGTTTTTATCTCAAATTTGAATATGATAGCGCCACTGAAACGGATAAGAATAAAACAAAGATCAGAAACTTGGGTGACTAAAGATATTCTTTCCCTAATTCAAGAGAGAAATATAGTATACAAAAAATGGAGGAAAAGAGCAAAAGATGAGAAGCTCTATAAAAGATACAGAGTATTAAGAAATATGGTCCAAAGAGAGGTGAAAAAGGCTAAACTCGATTACTTACAAAACAAGATAGAAGAAAATAAACAAGATTCGAAAAACTTTGGCAGAATCTAAAAAGCTTAGGATTGAAAAATAAGAAGCGAAAAGAACAAGAATCTGTCATTAAAATTGATGGGGAATTATGTCATGATAAGATGGCCATCGCTGATGAATTCAATTCTCATTTCACAAATGTGGCTGCCAAATTAGTAGACAAACTCCCCCCTTCCAAAGACTTTTTCAGCGCAGACAATGATTGTATTCGTGACTTTTACGAAAGAAAAGGTGTACGTGAAAACAGCTTCGAGTTATTACCAATCAGTGAACAATTTGTTTTCAAAGAGTTACGTAAGTTGAATGTATCAAAAAGTACTGGGTTAGACTTGATTCCAGCTAAATTTCTAAAAGATGGTGCGAAGGTTTTATTTAAGCCTCTAAGTTACTTAATGAACCTATCTATCTTGACGAGTACTTTTCCAGAAGATATGAAAATAGCAAAAGTGACTCCACTTTATAAAAAGAAAGATAAAACTGATGTTAGCAACTATAGACCTATTAGTGTTTTAAGCGTAGCATCAAAGATTCTAGAAAAATCGGTCTGTGTTCAAATTGAAAGATACTTCAAAGAAAATGATATAATTTATGAATTTCAATCTGGTTTTCGACATGATTATTCGACTGAAACATGTCTAATTCATTTGACTGATTATTTGAGGAGAGAAACTTCCCAAGGGCGCTTTGTTGGTATGGTGCTCCTTGATCTGCAAAAAGCTTTTGATACAGTTAATCATTCCGTCTTATTGAAGAAGTTACAACTAATGGGTTTTGATAAGGCAAGTTTAGATTGGTTCAGATCCTACTTATCTAATCGGCACCAAGTAGTGGCCATTCATGATATTCGTTCCAAACTAATGCCTATAACATGCGGTGTTCCTCAGGGAAGTATTTTAGGCCCAATTCTATTTTCAAGTTATATAAATGATATGTGTACTTGTATAAAAGACTTCAAACTATTATTGTACGCAGATGACAGCGTACTACTCTATTCAAATCCTGATCCTAAATATATTGAGGAAAAGCTCAGTGAACAGCTGTCTACGTGTGTCGATTGGATGACTGATAATAAGCTTTCTTTACACTTGGGAAAAACAGAAAGCATTTTATTTTGTTCTAAAAGTAGTTCTAAAAAGTCATTTGAATTCAAAGTGAGACACAATAATCAAGCAATCAAGAGAAAAGAGTCTGTGAAGTATTTAGGCATTGAGTTGGCTAGCGCAATTTCATTTTCATCTTTAGTAGAATCAGTTGTAAAAAAAGCAAATTCTCGTCTGAAATTTTTGTACAGATATCAAAGTTGTATGGATTTAAAAGCAAGACGTACACTCTGTTTTGCTCTTATTCAATGTTTATTTGACTATGCTAACCCTGCATGGTACAGTAACATAAACAAGTCAGATCAAAAGAAGTTGAAGATTATACAGAACAAAATGGTGAGATTTATCAACTGTTCTGGTCCAAGAACTCATGTTGGCTATAGCGAACTTTCTAAAGCTGGTTTTCTTGAAGTCGACCAAAGATCAAAACAACTCGCATTGCATCACGTGCATAAAATATATCATACTAGGTCGAATCATTATATTCGATCCAACTTCGATCTTGTTACTGACGTACATGATTATAATACAAGAAATAGACGATTCAACTTTAACTTACCAGAAAGAGTAGGTAGTATTGGAAATTCGTTTTATTACAATGCCATAAAACATTGGAATTCCCTTCCCAATGGTGTAAAAGAAATAGGAAACTATGATCATTTTAAGAGGAAATTAAAGGAATACCTAATACTTGACAGTCAGAGAAGAGAAGTGAATGACATGTTATATGATTGAAATTGTTATTCTTCTGTCGGTTCATACTTTTTCATGTTGTATATACTTATGTTTTCGTACGTTATAGAAATTCTACAAATTCATCATTATTTTCCTCTTCTTCCTTCTCCTCTTTTTCTTCTTCTCCTTCTTCTTTTTCTTCTTGTACTTAATATCATTTCTATCATCAGTTTAATGTTGTTATTATTATCTTTGATAAGTAGTTCTTTTAATTTTCTTATCTGTCTGTAAATATTACTATTTTAATTTATTAATTGTATACATGTCTGTAAGGGACCCCACTGGAAATAAGCTCTCGAGCTTTCGTGGGTTATCCTGTTCAAGCTGACTTATTTTTGATCTGTTATTATTGTATATTGTTGTATGTTGGAAGCTTGTCGAATAAAAATCAATCAATCAATCAATCAATCAGAATCAGGGGCGTCGTCAAAGGAGGTGTGGAGGGTGCGACACCCCACCACCTGTCAGGATATTGTCGGTAAAATTGCGCTCCCGTCGAGAAAAAGAGAAAAGGGGGAGGGCAAAAAAGAGAGGGAAAGGGAAAGAAAAGAAAAAAGAAAAGGGAAAAAAAAGAAAGAAAGGAAAAGAAAGAAAGGAAAAGAAAGGAAAGAAAAGAGAAAGGAAAGAAAGAGAAAAAAGAAAAAGAGGGATAAGAGGAAAGAAAGGGAAAGAAAGAAAAGGAAAAAAAGGGGAAAAAAAAGAAACAGGGGTGAAGAGAGGAGAGGGGGGAGGTAAGAGCCTGAGAAAGGAGGAGTGGGAGTAAAAGAAAGGGGGCTTGTGGGTGGAGTCGTCTCGTCAAAGTAGCAAGAAAAACATGGGTAAATATGTTGCTGTGTCGGGTCAGCTGTGTCGGTATTCTTGCTCGATCCTCGTGTACTATATCAATGCAGAAGTTTGAAGTCGGTGAGATGTATATTGTCGGTCGTCCGACAAGTTTTTTTTTCCCTACGAACTGACGACTTCGAGAGTGACTACAACTACAATACTTGTATTTTCTCGAAGTTTCACTTTCCTATAATATCAGCTTAAGAAATCAGAGGTTTAAAATTTTCGGGGAAACTAATTTAAAAAAGGATTAAGAGTCAACAACGGTAGGCCTACGACGAATCGTCTTCCTTTCTCTATATTTTGATAAAGACGTTGAATGCCTGACCGAGCTCTTATTAACAATGAACTCTTTTAAAATTGCAACCTCAATATCCATTCCAAACTCCTCGTGGACACGACTTATTATGAATTGGCAATTAAGGAAACTTCAAAATCTCATCTTCAAAATAAGTGCAAATTCATGCAAAATGAGCGTTTCTAAGGATCAAAATCAAAGACCATATCGCATCAAGCATATATGGACGCACCAATATTGTGTGTGCCGCAAAAGGGAATACTTATGGAGGCGCATTATCACGTGCTACGGATTGACTGCAATGGGGATCATTCTATCTACCCCAGACCAGACTCGGTAAAAGTCAGTTTGAACAGAGAATGTGCACCATGCATATACCACACTTCACCACACACAACATCAAATCGCATCACACCACACCCACACCAAACCAAATATCACACCACACCATACTGCACCATGAGCACGCCACACCAAACAACATCACGCACCACACTTCGCTATACCATACCGCAGTATACCACCACAAATTACACCATACCATACCATATCACACCACAACTTACCACACCAAACCACATCACACAACCCTGCATCATGCACCACACCATACCGGAGCTGACATTTACAACCATACCACACTACTACACCACACCAGACTATTCATACCATATTATACCACACATCACCACACTACACCAGATCACATCAAACCACACTATACTACACCACACCATATCGAACCTGACATTACAACCATACCACACTACATACAACACACCAGACCATACATACCACACATCACCACACTACACCACGCTGCATCAGATCACATCAAACCACAAATCACACCATAAAAAAACCACACATCACATTATAACAAACCAATTAAACCAGACCTACGCACACACACATCACCTAGAAGAAACCTAAAGCTTATGCTGTATCATTTTACATCATAAAAGTGGACAAGTGACACCTCTATCTTGCAATATGATATATTATGGTCTTTGCTTAAAACCATTTATTAACAGTTTTGTTTGTTAGGCGAGAAAAATTGATTATCTCTATTATTTAAAAACAAATGTGGTCTGTATTTTTCTAAATGTTGGTAAAAAAAAACAAATTTCATTGATTGAAGTTGCTGTGTACTGCAAAATAAAGTTAAACAATACCTTCAACTGCAAAACAGCTTCAGGTGACAATTACTAAAATCTTAATTGCTATGCCAACAGAATGGTACATGACTCAATCAATGACTCATTAATACAAAATATCGTCCTTTTTAGCATAATTACATCACATTCTTTTATTGACATTCAAATAAAAATTGTCCCGATAGTAGGACAAAAATGTGCCTCCCAATCCCCAAGCTTAGCGAGAGGCATAACCAATCATTGCATATCAGCATTTAACGAAGAACAAATAGTTTGTCATTGACATGTAAGTGTAGCAAACAATTACAAAGTGGGTCTGCATTCAGTTTGGTTCTGAATTCACACACTGTGTCTAATTAAGGGGAGAAATAGATTATTTTCACGACTTATCCAATCTATAATTTCCTCATCAATCTTTCAATCATTGCAACGAGTTCAGCTACCAAACGTAATGGCAGATGCTGCTTTACATATATCAAAATCTACAAAATTTGATGGAAATAATGACAGTGATGCAGTTTACAAAACAATCATACTAACGAAATATGAAAAAATGATGGTCGACTTAATACAGAATATCATTAAATGAAATAAGAGGGAAACAAAGATCAAATATTTAACTAAGCTATCTCCAGGCTACCTAGTTCTTTACAGTTATGCATTTTTCCAGTTTTGTGATTTACTCTTAATGTACAAGTACATCAAATGGTCTATGATAAGGTTGATTCTGAAAAAAATAATATATATAATACATCTTATTCCTTTCATTCTGATATATTTTCTACTTTTTCACTCACTTTAGAAGGTGTGACATATTCATACATCATACTCCAAAATGCAATTGCATTTACTGAACAAGATCTACATTATACACAGAAACACAACATGACTTGATCAGTAAAAAATCAATGACTGTCATTCTGTGCAAATTACAAGTACAAGTTTGAATATAATATTCCTTTTAACTCCCACTCCCGATTTCATTTGTCTACAATGTATGTAGTAAATATACCCTCCATGATATCACAATACTCAACATGTATCATATCAGTGCAATCAAGAATTGACATTGTTTATCTTTATTGGTAACAATAAATGGGGAAGAAAAGTAACTTATTTGACACAGTTCCCCGAAAGAAAAAGAACATTCATGATGTGCACAGAACATTTGACTCAAGGTATGACATAATTTTACAATTTTACAATGAACGACCTTACATGCATGCCTGTACTTCTGAGACTTTCTGCATTTGGGCTACCTTGTGTAGCAATCGCTGGTTGACATGCCCACCTATTGTCAAATGTTATAGCACCACATAACTTTGTTCATATGGAGAACAATCTTATCACAATGATGCATCGTATAATTTATATTGAAATAAAAAAGAAAACAGACTCATAAAGGTACATGTATAATATCCATAGCTCTTATCCATAACATAGAGGAATTGTATATAAACAATTTGTGTTTATGAGTGCATTAGTGAATACACACTACCCGCAACTTAAGTAGCCATACAAAAAAAGCATGAGACATTTTCCATCAGATTGCGAATTAACAGAGTTCATACAGTGTACGTCACTAATCAAATCAGTTTTATGCGAGAGGTTACAATATGATTATAGAAAGAAGAAATATTCTAAAAACGTGTTTAAAAGGTCAAATGTTGCAGAATCATGGAGGCTGCAATTTGCTTTATTGAATCATATATAACACAAGCCCAGCCAAAGAGTGTGCATTTAGAGCCATTGCTGCACATTTTATAGAGTCTTCTCTGAACAGCTAAATGGCACGCTTAAGCGCATCTTGGCTGTAGATTCCACTTAAGTTGTGCTCATTACGTTCAACTGACCTTGCATTCTTGAGTCAAATTGTGTCATTAGACTACTTAGATTGCCTACAATCTTGAATCCATTTCAAATTGCAACTTGTCCATTCCCTCCAGAGTACTTTACAACTTATATTTAGTTCAGGAATGATGCAAATATTTTACAGAGAGGCAATTACACAAAGGCAATAGCATGTAAGTCATTCATGTTCTGTCTACTTGAAAAAGAGAGGTATTATATTCAAGAGGAATTATTTATCGCTTGCAAGGCTTTTACAGAAACACCTTCCAAAAGGACAAATGAAAACCCTCCTGGAAACGTTAGAAATATATTTTATAACTGTTTCATACTGTGACAAGAATGTAAGTACCTTAAAAATTCATGATGCAAATTGGAGAAATTGGTTGATAAGTAAGAAAAAGCTAGTGAAACAGTAAGGGCACGTGACCAAGGAAGCCTCAATTTCATACCGACTGAGGAAATTGGGTCAATACACTATGAAATTACAGGTGATACATGATGATAGTGTGATATGTGGAATAAGGCATTGAAACGCTCTAGGTTTCCTGTTCATCTGGATCTTGGTCCTCTTCATCCTCCTCCTCATCATCAGATTCTAGAGAAGCAAAACAAAACGTGAATTACAAATTGGGTATTATAAGCCAATTTCAAAATGAAAGTAGATAACATCTAAGACAGGTCAGCTTGACGATTCAAAAGTACACAACAAAGAAGCAAAACGGTACGTTGTAACGGTTGTATGTTTTCTCCTTCAACTGATTTTCTGGTAAGGCTTCCCTTTCTCCCAGGGTGAGAATTAGATTGGCCATCAATTAATTACCACATATGTATTCCATAAAGTGCTTGACGTTTTCAAGGCGATTTAAGCATGGACAGCAAGCTGATTAAGTGAAAGCAGCAAATGAACAAAATAGTAAACTAGTTTCAAACAAAACGATCCCTCAATAACTGTCTTGATATAGACAATCTCACATTTGGCAATGCAGTTGACAATATCTAATGACGGCCATGGACCACTTCTCCTTTTGTTGTACATTTAAAATTACCTAAAATATTGTTTATCTAAATTCTGGCTCTCAGAAGTTGGTAATTCCAATGGAAGACATTAAAAAAAGTGTTACCTACAATAAAAAAATTATCATAACACACAAGGTAAATATTAGATACTTACTAAACAATCAATTGAGAATTGGTCCATGAATGGTATCACACATGAACATACTGGTAAGGGTTTGTTATCTAGAACAATAGTGACCTCAAATTACCCACATTTTTAACCTTTTTAATTCTGTTCTTTTCTTTATTTGTTTCTCTGATTTCTTATAAAGATTATGGCTCCGCTTTGGCCAATGTTTGAGAGGAATTCCTGAAGTAACTGGCTTCTGATAACCCTGTTATCCAGGTGTGCTATCAAAAAGTCTTGAATCCCCCAACTACCTATCATCAATATCTGAGTTTACATTATATAATTACTCACCTTCTTCAGCAGTGTTGAGCCAATCCACAAGCTTCTTCATTTGTTCATTGAACTGGGCTTTGCCCTTGGGGCTGTCATTGCCTTTGTACCACTTCAGAATCTCATCTTCCGACAGCACATCAGCTACATCGGAGAAACAAAAGCAGGAAGATCAGTTAACATAGCTTCACTGGATTATGTCACGTATGCTTCTAGCCACAATCGCTCCATTTGCTCCATTTTTAACACTTCAACCCATATCTTCACAAGATTGTACAACATATACTCATAGGACAATCGCTCCATTTACTCATTTTCTAACACAGATCAAATTTTTAACTGTTACCTGGGACCTTACACAATAAATTACCCTATTTAATGTACCCTGAAATCTAGCCTAACTCCAAATTGCAACTAAAGCTCTATATCTTTGACTAATGATATTCCCAGAGTAAATGAGGGATAATCCTTCCTTCACATCTTCAGAAAAGTTCAAAACATTTTCTACAGTGCTTATCCACAAAATGTCAACAATCGTCCTAATTGCTGAGTACATTTGCAATAAATATATTTAGGGTGCATGTATGACTGAAATTTTCTTCAAGAAAACATTTCTTTTTTATAGAAGAGAGCAAATGGGAGGAGACCTTACAAGATACATCACATAGTTACTAATTTGTGTTTGATTGATTGCAACTTCAAAAACTCACAACTTTCTTATTTCTAATCGGAAATTTGCCCAAACTTTCACTGACTTGTTTGTCTCATTTGTCTGCGTCTATTAAAAATAACTAAATATTAGGGTGGACTTCCCTTTTAAATTCCTCTTGGAATCTTTGCATAAGTGTGTCTTAAATTACATCTTATTTCACATTATGATACAATTTGAGTGAAATTTTGCCATCAAATTTTTGGCAAATTTGGGGCTCCCAGCACTTTAGAGGGGCTTTAACAATAATCAAGTAAGCAAATTCTTTCAACTTACAGGAATAGAACCAGGTGACCATCTTGGTGAACATTTTCCTCATCATAATGTCAGAATGACAGTAATCCTGTATCATACAAAAAACATACATCATTGAAAATGTTATGCTCGAAATCAAGCATGCTTATTACACTCAAAGTGAAAACTTTACAAAATATACATGATACAGGCAAAGATGAAGGTGGTAGAAATCAATAAAAGTGTACATGACAATGATTAAAAACAGACATTTCCTTACATTAAATAAAATCTTAACATTAAGAATGACAGGCAAACTTCTTTTGCAATACTAGTCTGCGTCAATCACTTTGTTTATATCTATATCAATATCTCTGTTTAAATTGATGACCAGAAGTGAAGACAAACGTTTTGGGGGTCATTGTTGAACTCGAGTACGTTTTCAGCAATTGAAGTTCACTAAATGAGTTCTCGATGGCATGGGCGGGCAAAAGGACTGTGTTCAGTCACTCAGTAGGTCAATAATAACTACTAATAAGCTGATCGTCTGATTCGGCCTGCTTTTTTTATTTCTTTTTATTTTCTGTATCTTTATTTTTTATTTTTTCCTTCTGCTCCGCCCTCCCTTACTTCATACTACACATTATAGTTCTCTTCCTCCTTGCCTTCCCCTTCCTTTCCTTTTGTTTTCCTTCTTTTCCTTTCCTTTTCCTTCTCATTTTCCTCTTTCTCCTTCTCTTCCGCTTCCTTTTTTTAAAATGATGAGGTGGCTGCCCCCCCCCTCCCCCGGCGCCGCCACCTGCGTGTTTATCATTGGTTTGTATAGAATCCACACTTACCTGCATCTTGAGTAATAGTTGAGCTTCAGTGCGACCAGTGGTCACAAAGGTCTTGAAGAGTGGCATGTATTTCTGCAAGATTAAAATCCAAAAGAAGTCTAGTAAAACATCTAAGCAAGATAAATCCGACTACGCCTCTAATGAGCCTCTGCCTACATGTTAGTGTACTGATTAACAATCCTATTACCTTAAACATCTGACCTTAAGAACCATAACTCTTTTTATGCTGCTTCAAATTACACTTTTTATACTTCAAATTGGTTCTGGTAAGTTATCACTGTAAAAAGATATTTTTAGTGAAATTCAACACTTTTCAAGACCATTTAATATTTCACCTCTGATATCTTACACCTAAACTCAAATGAGGTCAATTCTACATGCTTATACATACATGTTTATACACACATTGACTTCAATCAAGTTTGGTTGAAATTGCTTCAAGACATCTTATATTATCGCAGTAAAAAAACATTTGCTGTGATATTTATTGACTCTGTGACCTTACACATCTCACCCACAAAATCTAATCGGTTCATCCTTACATAATCATACATACTTCAGCATAATCATAAGCTACAAGATATATGACAGACCAGCAAATGGCGTGATAGTGAAAGTAATTACCTTGAAGGAACGTCCTAGCTGTTCTCGCAAATTTTCTTCTTTCTTGGACCATTCATTGGACTTCATCATTGCCTTCCAGAGCTGAAGAAATAAATGACAGAAGTAGTCACATGGTTACTATACGAAAGGTATTTACATTCGTAATGCAAACCTGCCCTCACATGTAATGTGTGCACATCTTTTTGTTGCTCATATAATGCACAAAATAGTTTTGAACTGCCTTGAAGCTCATGTAAACTGCCTTGAAGCTCATGGCAGCCACAGTTTAAGATATAAGAATAAGCATTATTATAAAGAGAGATAGACTTTGTCCTTGTAATAATAGGGCAAGTCAAGTTATACTAAATCCCCTAAGTCCCCTACGTTACTGACCACATCTACACATGAGTACCGGTATACCTTTTTATTGCAATAAGGATATACCTGTAGCTCTACTGGAGCTTAAATCAGACAAAATATGAAATCAAATGACAGATTCAATGTGAATCCACAATACTTTGTGTAACATATGGGACACCAATTGACTTCCTCCAACAAATTTGGAGCAATTTCATTAGAGATTTCAATACATGATTTACATTTGAGTAAGAGTTCACGCATTAATATGTATTACTTTTCGTAAGAAGGGTTTTGCTCCTACCAGAAAAATTAAAGTATGTTCAATTTTGTGCAAAAGTACACAGATGACCATACGATTTTAAAACGATATCTCATGGATTGTGAAAAAGTACCTGGACGACCGGGCAAGAATTTTCCACATCTCATATTTTTGGGTGTGCGAATGTGTAAAAAAGTGAACATGCGGTTAAACCCTATGTTTAATGTTGAATTTAATAGAAAAGAATAAGGATGCAAGGGGGAAAATTGAGATAATAGAATTCATACAATAATAATTATATTGAATGGCTTTTACTTCATGAGATATGAAGGTATATCTGACTCCCTTTTAGAAAATTTCACTTGCTGACTTGTGAAATATGCTCATCAGCTTGTGGAATATACCCTTGTATGACACCAAAGCCATTCAATATTATATAATCATCTGTAAATGAACACTTACTACACCAATGATGTCCTTTCCAGTAAAATCATTCTTCTTCATGGTTTCCTGAATTGCGGTTTGCATCTGTCAAAATTCAAATAAAAACATCCCGATAAGTGATCTATTTCAATCCAAATGATAACATACCATACACTATGATTGAACAGTTTGAAAGTATATGATGCCCTTGTACCCAAGTGCCTCACTTAACAATGTGAATTTTGATATTGACACATCTGGGGCCTGTCTTACATGTTTAAAGAGTTGCGATTGATCCAAATCAATAGCATTTTCGCAGTCTCCTATATCTTATGTAGATAGTTGCGATTAAAATAAACTCTTTATAAGACAGGCCCCAGGACTCTACTATTGGATTATCTATTACACTCTTAGAAATCAATCAATAACTGTGAACATGTGCCTCAAACAAGTCTGTTATTCAATTGATCAGAACCATTATAAATAGTACATTCACAAAAAGGCTGTCCCTAAATACTGCATTACATCCCACTAAATCAACATGAGTTAGAATGACAGGAAATTAAATACATCCTCTTGTACTGCAACTGAAGAAAATAAAAAAAATAATAATCTGAAATTTCAGAAGTTATTTCATTTATACTGCTATAGCACTTTCAGCTTGTAGGCCAAGTTCATCAGATTAAATCAGTGTAATATTCTGGCTTCCACTTTTGAGTCAAGAGTAAGAAAATCATCACTGAACATGAACATGAATCTTTGTTTAATCATAATCAAATAAATATGAGTAGCTACTGGGAATAGCATGTTGTTTTCAAGAGAGATCTGACATTTCAGAAGTTATTTCATTTATACTGCTTTAGCACTTTCAGCCTGTAGGCCAAGTTCTTTAAATGTTCTTACACTACAATATAAATATGTCTAAAAATAAAAGGATTTAAATAAATACCTCTTTTATGTCTCCAGAGTCTTCAGTGATCTCAGAAAGTTCTTTGAAAAGACGTTTCTTGCTTTCAGCATGAGCTCTAGCCCGCTTCAAAGATATAACACAATAAGAGCATAACGACAGATGGTGAGATAATTCTACTTTTCCAATGTGTAAAAATTGTTCTCTTTCAATATCTTGTACATCTGTCACATTAAATCAGATTAATATTCTTGCTTCCATTTATGAGTCAAGAGTAAGAAAATCATCACCGAACTTGAACATAAATCTTTGTTTAATCATAATCAATTAAAAAATTAGTAGCTACTGGGAGTAGGAACATCAATCTTAGCATGTTGTTTTAAAGAGAGATTAATGTTAAGAATGTGAATAACCAAAAAACGGCCTAAAAAACCCTCCATCTGCCAGTCCGCCAGTAGAGTAAAACACGCTTGCTTACATTATATTTTATTGCCTGACAAAGTGTTGCAGCGGCACACAAAACGTTGTGATCTTTTTAGATCCCTTGTTCTATATATATATACATATTTGGAAAAAACGCAACAACAGTAACATGCTTTTAAGAACATTGAGAGAGCAAATGTGAAGACATATATGGTTTCATAATTCATATACATTTTTCAGTTTGCTTTATACTATCTCTTCAATATAACCCATAAATGTACCAAATATCATTATTCAGATGAATATCTTGGAATATTCATTTTCTCCCCAGGACAAAATAAGGGCATTACTTACCTGATAGTTTGCAAAATCAGTCAGACCTGCTTCACAGAAAATGTTTTCAAACTGGGCTTCGCTTCTCTTGGAAATAGGCATCAGTTCCTGTGGAATTAAATATGTGCGTCTATCAGAAATAGATCTATTTTCAAATTTAAAAAATGCAAATACATGTGAATGGAAAAGTTCACATGTTAAGAATACATCTCCCTATCTAGAAAATTGTTTAATATATCACTTGGAAAATTCTATATTTCAAAAGAGCATAATCATCAAAACACTTGATATAACTTTGAGAAATTGACAATGTCAAGAAGTAACAACAAGTCTATTCCATGTTATAAGGCATACAAGTGTCTTTTAGATTGGTCAATAGGGACTTTAAGATTTGCACATCGACATAGTGGACTGCTACGCGATGACGTCATTACAAGGCACATTTTAGTCCTCCTCCCCCCCCTGTTGAGCAAAAAAAAATTGCATACGCACTTCCTCAATGCAGTTCCCCAAAGTATTGGTATTTTGAGTTGAAATAATGGTTTGCGGGAATTTCCAAATTTCAGGCCCCCCTCCCCTACTGGAAAATCCTGGATCCGCCACTGCCCTTCTCTCTATTCTCATTAAAACTCTTTGTCTTGAACTAAAAAGTTTGATTGGTATGTTATAGCATCCGTAGAAAGGTCTATACTTTTATAGCTAGTAGCAGTGGCAGTGTGCATGAGCTTCGCCTTCGCCTTCGCACCGCCCACCTGGCTGTTGACGTGACGGTACGCCGGGTCCTTGCACGCGGAAACTCTTTTGAAATTTGGCGTGTCGTTTATGACTTCATCACGCTAACTTCCTGTCGACGTATATCCTGGAGTGAAATCTAAAAGATTTCTAACTGTAGTTAACAGGGGCAGTTGACTACGTTGACACGCATGATCCGTGGACGTTCACGCCGTTCTCGTCCACTCAATCTAAAAGTCCCTAGTGATACCTTTGCTGCAACAGTGGCACACATTTATGTTAGCTGTCTGTAGTAACTGTTGTACAAAGTTCAGGACAGGAACATCAACTTCAAAGTCATGAGGATAAGTCACAATATCAAAATGCCACATGCCCAATTCATTTATCAACGAATTAGCGCATTTTCTGACTTAAAAAAAATATATAATGGTAGCGAAATGCCCTTACCAGTAGTCTGTTGTCGAGTTGTGCCTTACTCAGCACTGAACCGATGTTGTTCATATCACGTTCCTTCAACCATACAGCAAACATGTCCACTGCAAACTGCAAGGCAATGCCTGCATATAAATGACAAAAGATATGAAAACGCATTTAAACGAGAAAGAAACAAAGTTGCAATTTTGAATCACCCTGTCAACATTTTCACCATCAAGATTCAATTTTCAGAATTTCAAAAGAACTTCCATTAACATTTTGAAATACATGCAATGCACTAATTTTCTTCAAGCAGCTAGGCCAATATCTTCACGTTTTTATTCCTCAAGAAATTTAATTATCATATTTATATATACATGTCTCTTCAAAAAAGGTTTGATTTTTCAAAAATCTATTATGTACATTTTTGTGAGTATTTTGCTATAGCAATCATGCCCCATACACAACTGATACCCTATTTGCCGGCGTAAAGGCCGCAGTATTTTTGGAAGAGAAAATATCAAAATGTCGGGGTGCGGCCTTTACGGCAAAAGAGTAAAAAAAAAAAATTTTAAAAAAAGTCAAAACCAGCACAATTTTGCACATATGGGACTACGAACGGTAAAATAACTATACCACTATGGTACAGGACATTTCCACACATCTTACCAACAATTTTATCTTGCATTGTTGACATGAAGACGAAAATAAACCTCCTAACAAAACATTTGCCGATAGATCTTGATCTAAGTTTGTGCCAATGCATTGCAAAAGTAAAGGAAGTTAACGGAGCTGCCGCGAACATCCATCCGAAGTCGCCATTTTGTTTTCCATTTCATGCAGTTTCGCATTACACCGTACATTGTGGTAGGGGTATATATCGGACACCAAATCTGCCTGCGATTACTTTTTTTAGCTAAACTTCCGGTAAATTATAAGAATATTGATGAATTTGTTATCAGTTTGTAAAAAAAAAAAAATTATGATTATTTTGTTTTGTCCGTTTTTTTTTTCCTCTTTGAAATGTCAAAGTTGGGGTGCGGCCTATGCGGCGGTGCGGCCTTATCGCCGGCAAATACGGTATACAGAACCTGACATAAACAGTTTCAATTTAATTGATAATTCTACTAAGATTACAGACCCACTTAACCTTGGACCCACCCAAATATCACCTAAAATGACACCTCTAGTGCCAATTTATTATTTAAATATTGTACTTGATATCAAATATCTTAGACCCGTCCGAACCTCTCTTTTTCTTCTATATTTATTCAACCCAATGATTCAGGACTTACCATCTTTGACAAGATGATCATTGAAGAGACTTGCGAGGCATTTAGCATCTACCTGGTTATTAGCCAGCATGATGCTAGTAATCATGGCTACCTTCTTGCGCTCCACCTCAGTGAAGCCCTTAAGGAACAGGATAATCTGCAAAACAAAAATGGACATTGATTTCTTACAAATCTTGCAGCATAGTAGACAAATTTGCGGCCATTTACAGTCTCCTGCAGGACAATTTCTTTGAAAATAAGGTTGAGTTCTGGTCATGCAATTGCATTGTGAAACGGGTGTGGAATTGATGAGAAAAAGTTGATCATCTAGCATATAAGTATTGGTGTGTAGTGCAAGGTTCTGGAATCATAAAGATGATAAGAAATTTGGCCCAGTCTTGGTAAAGTTACAAGCACTGTACACAGAAAGATGTATACGGGGCTATACGAACATGTGGCATAAAAATCTGTCCAGATTTTTATGTTGTTGCACGTCATATTTAGAATATGAAAACATTTGAAGAGCCGTGCTTTTCAGGGAACATTTTTTATCTGATGTTCTTCCACACTGCATAATAACAATAATAACGCTCACAAATTTTTTTTCACCTCTTTCCACAACTCAAACTTCTCTCTTTAATCTAAATGATAGCTAGCTGTACTCGATACGAAAGCATTAACTGTCTTTTCCGTCACATTTTTAGTTCAGCATTTTAATCTTAACTCCCGGTGCTCCATACACACATTTTTTGGTGTGGGGGATTGCCCTTTAAACTTACCTTGACAAGTTCATCTTGGAGTTTCTTTTCGAGGTACTTGTAGCGGCGAGTCAACTTGCTGAACACCTGAAGAGGAACACAGAATGAGAGTTACAGCTTTATAGTATGAAGCATACATGCAAGCCAGTATATTCTTGAAATTACTAAACAGCCTCATCTTACAGATATCTTAAAATCATTGTAATCAACTCTTTTCCACTGTCAATTAAAGTTTAAAACTTTCCTTCTCCAAACATCATAAATAATAGGAATACAATTTAAAAAATACAAAACTGCAATTAAGTTTGACTTACCTCACCAAAGTTTTGCATTGCCTCGACATCTCCCTTGGTGGTGAACACGCAGACTTCGCTGCGGCAAACCTTGGTCTTATCTGAATCCTCTACCACTGAGCCCCCAGGTGCTGTAAGATATGTAGATGCAAGTCAACAATAAACAACTATAACCCATCATCTTAAAATAAAATATAACATATGGTACTGAAGCTGACTTCATCCAACGAGCCTGAAAAGAGACTCTGGCATGTTTAAGTTTGACGTTTGAAAAGGCCTTACATGGTGAGTTGTCAGGGCCTGAAATCAGACTAAGGCCTGAAAAATGGCATCTCTGCAATCGAAAGGGGGTTAAGGATAGCACTCTAGTCTACCAAATGCAGGGATGCCAACCTTTCAGAGCACAAATCCGTAATCATAAGGCTAAAAATCCGTAATTTGGAGACAAAATCCGTAATTTTCTGCGCGACGCAAATTTTTCTGCACGCTGGCAAGCACAGCTCCCGCAGGCAAGCGCGATAGCACAACAAGTTAAATAAAAGTAACATAGTCTACCTGTTCATTAGTTGGTGTTACACGATGCATTTCCATTTCTTACTGTATTCTTCTTTAAAAGTCTGTAACTTCTTGCCACGCTTCTTAGTTGTGGAAGACATGATGATTGATATCTAAATCCAACCAACATGAGTTCAGATTGTCGACGAAAATCGACGAACGCTGTGACAGCCTGTGAGAAATCCGACAGTGTACACGGCGCTAGCGTAGCGAGGCCTGGCGCTGGGCATGGGCGGGCGGTAGCGGCGCGGCCAAGAGAGGTATTTCACCCGGCCCCCGCTCGCGAAGCACATGTTGTATGCACATGTATGCACTGAAAGGGGTGTGCTAGATAACAAATTGTCCAATCGGAAGCCCTGTGGGATTTCTATGCATGGATTCAAGGATGGCTGCGCTGCAATAGTCAAAAGTACGTGCTAAACCTTAAACGTGCTAAACCTTAAAGTGCTAATTTTGAAAATCGGCAAAATCCGGAATTTATGGTATGAAAATCGTACCGCCCGTAATCGGCCGATTTCCCGTAGAAATTACGGGAAATCCGTACTAGTTGGCATCTCTGCAAATGGTCAGCTACTCTTTAATGGAACCACGGTATGGGTATGGGTGAAACTGGAATGTCATTTCAGGTACATATTTCTGACCAACCTGTCAAACGTATGAAGGGCCCCTGCCCTAGCAAACTTGAATAGATGCTTGGATTAGAAAATGTCTTCATTGTTCTTTGTCCGTGTGAATACAATTTTTGCTAGTTGTTTACTTACCTAAAATGCCACCAGCAAAAAGAATGTCAAGAAGGGTTTCAGCATACAGCCGGTAGTTCAGCTTAGAGCCTGCCCCATCCAAGAATTTGGATACTTGTTCCAAATCTGTGCCAGCTTCGTTAAGTCCTTGCAGGATACTATCACGGAACCCAGTTGGGTCGTATTTCTCTTTCTCATCTGATCAAAAATATGAAAGGATAAAAGATTTTACAACATCCAATATCATCATAGCAAAATACTTACTGCTTACATGAAACTGACTAATGTTCTATAGGAATTAAATATTAATTATACAAAATTACTGTGTCTTTCTTGTCTTAAACAATTTGTGTGTGTGTGGGTGTGTGAGAGTGTGTGTGAGAGAGAGAGAGAGAGAGAGAGAGATAGAAAGAGTGTGTGTAACTGTGTATACATAACTTAACACACACTCGCATACAATTACAAACAAACTAAAATAAGTACAAGAAATAATGAAATAAGATGAATTAATAACTTACCCCTCTTTCGGGTCCGAGTTCGCTGGCCCGTGAGCGTAGGCTTTTGCTCCTTTTGACTCATAAAGTTTTTCTGTAACAGCAAAATACATGGCAAGACAAAAATGATCAGAATGTATAGTAACTGAGGTTACCGAGTGAAGCAATAGAGATAACTCAGGTATTTTTTTCTCTAACATTTCTACACTGAACCGTGTGTCCGGAAGCTTTAAAAATAATAAATGTGAACAGATGCGTCCACAAAAATAAGGATCATCTGCATTTTCGCTGACGATTCCGATTTCCAATTCCGCCCGTTGGCGATGCGAAAAACTGGTTCCGCAATGATTTTCTTTATGCATTTTACATTGACTTTGTACAGAGACTTTCACGTTATGAGTGATAAATCCTTGTTTGGAAGACGGCTAACCCATAAAATTAGACAGTGAACTGGGGTATTTTTTTATGCCGACTCTGTTTTTTGCATCGCCAGAGGGCAAATCGGGAACCCGAAACCCCCAGAGCGCTGAAGAACAAAAACGTCTGCGAAAATGTGGAAGATCTTTTTTTTTGGGGGGGGGAACGCATTTTGTCAGCGTATACGAGGATATCCACGTTTATGCAGATGATCCTCATTCTCAGGCCAGCGCCCTTTATACCGATGGTCGGCTTCTGTCTCTAAAGGGAGGAGACGACCCTACCCAAATAATAGGATAAGGAACGCAAGAGACCGAATTTTTGGTCTAGTTTCAATTTCAGTAGGGTATCTCCACGCCGGAGCTACGTCGGCTTAGGCCTATGCCTTTACGGGTCAAACAAAGTCTGATTATGATTCTGAATCTGATTCTGAACAGGCGGCTCTAGCGCTGAGCTGAGCCGCTACTCCGCTGGCGCCTCTACTCTAGCGCTGAGCAGAGCCGCTACTCCGCTGGCGCCTCTACTCTAGCGCTGAGCTGAGCGGCTAGCGCCATAATATTTGTCCTTTCATAAAGTCTTAAGTTAAATCAGTCTTATTCTTAAAGATAAAATGAAAAGAAATATTGCATGTCAATTTCTTTAAATTACTATTTTAAATCAACTATCCACATAATCTACACCACCTGTCTGGACAAACAACATCTTGCCTGGCCTGGCCTGGTAGAGTCTACATCTATACCTAGACCGAATTTTTCTGTCTCTTTCGTTCGTAAGCCTCTGATTTGGGTAGGTCGGCTCTCTCTTTAGAGACAGAACAGAACGGGCGTTGATATTTTACCGGATGCATTTCCGATGTATTTATATCCCTAAATTATCAACATGCTTAACTACTTTGGTTCCACTTACCAACTTGACTACTTCAATCCGTTTCATGGTCCCTTTTCAGGAAATTATGGGTCAAGATCATAGTATATATCTCTATGGTCAAGATCGACATCCATGAAGAAAATCTTGCAGCCGGGTTGCGTCTCTTGTAGTCTACGCCGAAGGCAAAATGATTATAACGGAAAAACTGTGCACGAGCTACGAGTTCATAATGACATGCACAGTTTTTCCGTTATAATCATTTTGCCTTCGGCGTAGAATACAAGAGACGCAACCCGGCTGCAAGATTTTCTTCATGGATGTCGATCTTGACCCATAATTTCCTGAAAAGGGACCATTAAACAGATTGAAGTAGTCAAGTTGGTAAGTGGAACCGAAGTAGTTAAGCATGTAGATAATTTAGGGATATAAATACATCAGAAATGCATCCGGTAAAATATCAAAATTAGGGATTAAGTTTGGCCAAGTTTTGTGTAACGTTTCTATACACAAACGCGCGTCCACTACAGCGTATAGGGCTGTTCTGTCTCTAAAGAGAGAGCCGACCTACCCAAATCAGAGGCTAACCAGTAGGGGCGCTGGTCCGAGAATAAGGATCGTCTTCATAAACGAGGATCGTCTTCGTAAACACGGACGGATGCGTCCTCAAAAATAAGGACCGTCTGCATTTTTGCAGACGTTTCATATTTTTGATCGGTGCATTGGCGATGCAAAAAACGGATTCTGCAATGATTTTCTTGATGCATTTTACATTGACATTGTACAGAGACTTTCACATTATAAGCAATAAATCCTTGGGAAGACGGACAACCCATAAAAGTAGACGGTGAACTAGGGTTATTTTCCCCCGGGGAATCCATTTTTGGCATCGCCAGCAGGCCGTTCTGTAACATGAAACCCCCAGAGCGCCGATGAAAAAAAACGTCCTCAAAAATGCAGACAACCCTTATTTTTGAGGATGCATTTTGTCCTCGTTTATGAGGATATCCTTGTTTATGAGGACGATCCTCATTCTTGGACCAGCGCCCCTACTGCTAACGAACGAAAGAGACAGAAAATTTCGGTCTATATCTATACCTAGCACTAGCGGATAGCACTTAGCATTAAGCAGGGCTCCCACTTAGCCGAGTTGGAGCCTCGAGTTGTGGCGAGCTGGCGCAAGCTTATGGCTAGCCGTTTTATAATTAAAACATATTTCTTGATATCAAGAATTCAATTCTTAATAGACCAGGTCTATCACGAAATCAAATTCTTGATATCAAGAATTAACATTGCATTACTAGGCAAATTCATGCAAAAAAATATATTCAAGAAATTGACTTGAAAACACATCAGACAATTAGTCTGAACCGAGTCAGGAGCAAATTTGAAGAAATTATATTTTTAAATGTTGTAAAACCAAAGATATAAGAAGAAAACTGACCAAGTATCTGTACTAAAAATCGTACATGTAAAATTGGTTGTAGACATTCGACAGCTGAAAATGACGCGCACGGTTGTGGTACGTGCGTTCTCGAATCCAAAATCGTATCTCACACACACACTCTCGCCATACCGCAAATGGTCCGTCGTGGGGAGCTAGCCGCCCGAGAGTTTGCCAGCGATACCAACGCACCCTCGGAGCTCCGCAGCGCACACTCGAAAGGTTCGAGGTGGGTTCGAGGTGGGAAGGTGGTGGGCTAGCTTTTTGCCAAAACCACGCTAGAACGTCTGCTGGCAAAGTGAAAATAACTACGATCGAGAACATCGTCGGTTTCAGTGAGATAATTCTGAATTCTAATTGAGACTATATAATAAATTATATCGACAAAGAAACCTCGGTAGATCTCTTATAATATACAAAAGCTTGTTTATTTCTCGTTTTGACATTTGTTTTCGAGCCATTTTTTCGTGCGCGAGTCAATGCAAACTTTCAACACGCAAGGAACGGGGAACACTCGCGGACCCCGTATCAAATTTGTTGCAAAAAAAAATTTCAAGGATGATTTTGAAGCAGTGAAGAAAATTTGCGCTGCGATGCGCAGAAATATACTTGAAAGAAACTTAAAAAATCACACCTGAATTTTCAGAAAATCGTATTTGCATTACCAAGCCTAGTTGTGAGTTGTTTATATCTCAGATTTTATGAAGATTTGTCAGAAAAAAATGTCATTTTTTTCCGTTTGGTGGTCATTTCTACGCTAATATTTAAAAAGTTGCATCAGTAATGGGCCCAATGTTTCTCTTATCGTAGATCTACTCGCATGTTATTTCTACATCAGTAGGGGCGCTGGTCCAAGAATGAGGATCGTCTTCATAAACGAGGATCGTCTTCGTAAACACGGACTGATGCGTCCTCAAAAATAAGGACCGTCTGCATTTTTGGAGACGTTTCATATTTTAGATCGGCACATTGGCGATCCAAAAAACGGATTCTGCAATGATTTTCTTGATGCATTTTACATTGACATTGTACAGAGGCCTTCACATTATAAGCAATAAATCCTTGGGAAGACGGACAACCCATAAAAGTAGACGGTGAACTAGGGTTATTTTCCCCCAGGGAATCCATTTTTGGCATCGCCAGCAGGCCGTTCTGTAACATGAAACCCCCAGAGCGCTGATGAAAAAAAACGTCCTCGAAAATGCAGACAACCCTTATTTTTGAGGACGCATTTTGTCCTCGTTTATGAGGATATCCTTGTTTATGAGGACGATCCTCATTCTCGGACCAGCGCCCCTACTGTACATAGATTAAACATAGGATGGTTAGGGGTAAGACCGGATAACATTATAAAAAATATATATCCTTCCACCCTCCTAGTCCTATATCCAAGTTTTGGGCTGATTATTGCCGACCCACCGCAGCAAGGCCATTCAGATTTTCGTACGCTCGCGAAGCGCCCTCTAGTGCCCCATGAATGTGCCTAGCATTACAACGTAAAATTATTTCTTGATTTTATGATAAAACGGCTTGCCATAAGCTTGCGCCAGCTCGCCACAACTCGAGGCTCCAACTCGGCTAAGTGGGAGCCCTGCTTTAGCATGAGGAAGGAGCATTGACTTGCATGTACATCCCGACTCCCAAACATCCTACGTGTAAAAACACATTGACTTTTGTGCACGCGTTTCCTCATAAACTCACGACGTACTGTCCATATTGATGACACTTTTGAATTCAAATTAAATTCTACGAATAACACAAACATCACACGCTATGAATCTCAAATAATTAAGTAAACTACATCATTTTAAAAGAATTGTTTACAAATAAATATAACACTACCCATATGTACGAAAAAAGTAATTTTTTAAAGGAACTCACTCCGACAGTCTTGCTTGCAAAAAATCACGAATTTGACAATGAATGATACGGGGGTGCCTAGCTTAAAGTATTCTTTTAAAACACAAAACAGGGCTCAATTCTTTGATTCAATAATTCAAAATGAAAATTGGAGTAAAAGATGAATAATTATTGTTGTTTTGATATTTTGACAAATTTACTGGAGCTAACATGTAAACAAAATCCTTTTCAAACACAGGCGACGTGGTTTCATCGGATAATATGAATATGAAAATGACAGTAGCACCCCCGGTCTTAAATAACACAGATCATGCTTTCTTTGATTTGTCATAAATACAAACGCATTAATGTTCATCCATTACTTATGCAATTATCAATTAAAACAATTTGTTAAATTAAATTAATCTATTCCATAAATTTTCAATAATTTAAAGAGATTTGAATTGTAAAAAATCATATTTTAATCTTCCATTATCAAAATATTAGTCTTGTTCTAGACGCATTATACACATGGAGTTCTTTTTGTAGCGTGTCTACTTTCTTGTTCGTGCTGAAACGGAATGATTAATAACAGCATGGATTTATGCAATTTAGAAACAATTACCTAGTGGTTGTGATAGGCCGAGTGCCACAAATTATTGAGCTTGGGGGGGGGGGGGGCTCGGCTCCGACAATGAAATGCAAAGCTGAAACTTTCGATGCGGGAGTTGATTCGGGCGTCTTCCTTTTTCGTCCCCCCGTTTCCCTTAATTCTCTCAAGTTCCCTCTTGTACATATTTTTTTTCTTCACCAATCCGTGGCAACCGTGGTGCCCCGTCGTCATTCCCGTATAGGCTACGCCATACACGAGTGGTTTTATCATGGAATCAGTCAACATTTCAAGCACATTCTTCTATGTCTCTATAAATGAGCAAATACCGCAAAATGTCTTGGTGTACGAAGTAACAAAAGTATAACCAAGAAGTATAACGCAAAGAAATTCGGTGCATATAACGGAATATATACAGGCAAAAAGGAATATTTACCATTAATATCTTTCAAGCTTATGCATAATGCACTGATCTTGCTTAAATTTGGTTTCTCTGTGTTGTCGAATCGATATGAAAACAAAAAAATAATAATAATAAACTCAAAAAAGTATGTGAAAAGCGAGCTGCGAAAATAATTTCAAACCAAAGCCTTACTAATGCCTGGATTACATTTGCCCCGGGCGCCGAAAGATAAATTAGTCTACGATTTTTCGTAGACATCGTAGGAGGCTACGGGCTACGATGTTTGTGTTTACACTATCTACGATCGAGCATCGTGCCATTTATTTATATATCTTTCAAGCTTATGCATAATGCACTGATGTTGCTTAAATTTGGTTTCTCTGTGTTGTCGAATCGATATGAAAACAAAACTAGACTTTAATTCGTCACGAAGACGAATAAGGTGGTCTGTCTAAGTCTTATGATAGATTTGAGAATGGGAAAAGTTATATAGACATGTAAACAATGATGATGATGATGATGATGATCTTGATAGTAATGGTGATGACGATGATGACGATGATAATGATAATGTTGATGATGACGATGATGATGTTGATGATCATGATCATGATCATGATCGTGAGCATGATCCTGACATCTGATTGAAAAAATGAGGGAGATGTAGATAGCATATAGTCTCAGCTACATTATACTCAAAAATCAACAAAAAACAAGCGGAAATAACGGCGATATTGCTCGCAAAAGACAGGAATGTAGAATCCAGATTTAAGAAAAGGTCATCTCCAATAAGTATTACAAGCAAAAAGTAATGGATCAAGTGATAATAGGGTAATAATAAATTAAATATAGTTGTTTATTACATTATTTGCGATTCTACGTGTTTTAATATTCAAATGAGATGGTACAGTGAAAGGTCAAAAAGAAAAAAAAGTGAAGAAAAAAAATTGTTGGAGACGCCCGGACTCGAACCAGGGACCTCGATGTCGGAAGTCAAGTGCGTTACCGATATACCAAAACATTTCACATAGAGATTACACGTAAACGGAAAATGAAATTCTCAAATCCCACTTTGTAAGTGAAATATGAGCATGATCCCGGCATCTGATCGAAAAATAAAGGCCACATTTGTGATAGCTTATTCTCTCAGCTACAACATACTCAAAGCTCAGCGTAAACAAAGATAAAACGACGGAGATATTGCTCGCGAAAGACGAGAATGTAGAATCCAGTTTTGAGAAAAAGTCATGTCCCATAGAGAATACACGCAAAATGTGAAAAATTGACATGCCTCCTTTAATTGCAAAAATACGCCATGATGCCTTTGTCAAAATGAAATATCGTGATGACTGCATTTGTATAGAATATTCTCAGGTAGAACATATCAAAATTCGAAAGAAAATTGATCAATATTTACAGAGATACAATTAATTTTCAAAAAATCTGCTGACGTCATAATATGCAAATTGATATTTTGAGTTCGGAGGCCATTATGATGACGTCATGAGTTAATTGAGGGTCAAATGAGACATGAAATCATATCTTCAACTTATGTTTTTTCTAACCATGATATAAAAGTTGGGGTCAATGGACTATCTGAAGAGCTATTTTGATTTTCAAAATGGCATGTTTTTGATCAAATTTGCATTATATTGCCCATAGCAGCACGCGCGGATTTTTAACTTTGACGCGCGCTCACGGCCTTATGAAATGTCAAGGGTGACTGAAATTATTGTAAATTGTCATCTACGGTAAGAGGAATCTATATCGTGTAAAAATTTTGAATTTGACTTTTTCCGCGCGCTGTGAGCGCGCGCAACGCGCGCGGGGACACCTACGGACGGAAAATTTTGAAATGCCTAAAATGACCTGATTCGTACTCTCCTTTAATAGTTAAGTGATTTTGAGCATTTTAAAATTTTGACGCGCGCGTACGTGCGCGTCATGACCTTTATGTGACCTTTGATGACTTGACCTGTTGACCCTTGACCTGAAGTATATGTGATATGAATATGAATGACCTTTGCTGATGTATCATGAAGATATGATTGATAATGTGATTTCACAAAATGGCGCCTGGATGACGTAACGATGACCTGATGACCTTAAAAAAAAATGCCTGCACTTGACCTTGATAAGCCTGATGACTGACAACAAATTGATGAAAATTGATCAACCCAAATTTGAGCAATCACGCTCACAAGAAAGTGGTGGAAAAATAAAAATGAACAATTGAGTGCGTTACCGATATACCAAAACATTTCCCTTATTAGCGATTACACGTAAACGGAAAATGGAATTCTCAAATCCCACTTTGCAAGTGAAATATGAGCATGATCCCGGCATCTGATCGAAAAATAAAGGGCATTTTGTGAAAGCTTATTGTCTCAGCTACAACATACTCAAAGCTCAGCATAAACAAAGATAAAACGACGGAGATATTGCTCGCGAAAGACGAGAATGTAGAATCCAGTTTTGAGAAAAAGTCATGTCCTATAGAGAATACACGCAAAATGTGAAAAATTGACATGCCTCCTTTAATCGCAAAATTACGCCATGATGCCTTTGTCAAAATGAAATATCGTGATGACTACATTTGTAGAGAATATTCTCAGGTAGAACATATCAAAATTCGAAAGAAAATTGATGAATATTTACAGAGATACAATCAATTTTCCAAAAATCTGCTGACGTCATAATATGCAAATTGAAATTATGAGTTTGGAGGCCATTATGATGACGTCATGAGTTAATTGAGGGTCAAATGAGACATGAAATCATATCTCCAACTCATGCTTTTTCCAACCATGATATAAAAGTTGGGGTCAATTGACTATCTGAAGAGCTATTTTGATTTTTAAAATGGAATGTTTTTGATCAAATTTGCATTATATTGCCCATAGCAGTACGCGCGGATTTTGAACTTTGACGCGCGCTCACGGCCTTATGAAAGGTCAAGAGTGACTGAAATTAATGTAAGTTGTCATTTACGGTAAGAGGAATCTAAATCATGTAAAAAAAAAGGAATTTGACCTTTTCCGCGCGTTGTGAGCGCGCGCAACGCGCGCGTGGACACTTACGGACGGAAAATTTTGAAATGCTTAAAATGACCTGATTCGTACTCTACTTTGATAGTTAAGTGATTTTGAGCATTTTTAAATTTTGACGCGCACGTACGCGCGCGTCGTGACCTTTATGTGACCTTTGATGACATGACCTTTAGACCCTTGACCTGAAATATATGTGATATGGATATGAATGACCTTTGCCTATGCATCATGAAGATATGATGGATAATGGGATTTCACAAAATGGCGCCTGGATGACGTCACGATGACTTGATGACCTTGAAAATGTTCCTGTCACGTCTCATGACAATGACCTATGACTGTGCCAAAATTGAATGAAATTGACGAAACCGAACTTGAGTTATCCTAGGCACAAAAAAGTGTAGGAAATAAATAAAAATAAAGAATAATAATAATAACTAGATTTTAAATCGTCACGAGGACGATTAAGGTGGTCTGTTTTCAAGTCTTATGATAGATTATAATATTTTGTATATTGAGAAAGGGAGAAGTTATATAGACATGTAAAGAATGATCATCATCATGATGATCATGATGATGATGATCTTGATAGTAATGATGATGACGATCGATGATGATGATGATGATGATGATGATGTTGATGATTATCATCAACAGACCATGATGACATCAGACTGAACAAAATGAGAGAACATTTAGATAGTATAAAGTCTCAGCTACAACACACTCAAAAATCAACAAAAATCAAGCTGAAATAACGGCGATATTGCTCGCAAAAGACAAGAATGTAGAATCCAGATTTGAGAAAAAGTCATCTCCCATAAGGATTACACGCAAAAAGTAATGGATCAAGTGATAATAGGGTAATAATAAAGTAAATATGGTTGTTTATTACATTATTTGCGATTGTACGTGTTTTAATATTCAAAGGAGATGGTACAGTGAAAGGTCAAAAAGAAAAAAAAGTTAAAAAAAAAAATTGTTGGAGACGCCCGGACTCGAACCAGGGACCTCGAGGTCGGAAGTCAAGTGC